CACGTAGATGAATATACATATCTGGGTCAAAATGTCAAAGTAAGCAAAGAAAATCAGACTACCGAAATAAGCAGACGTGTAAAAATGGGATGGACAGCATTCGGAAGACTCTATGTACTTAAAAAATATACCTTAAAGACTGCAAATCAAAGTGTTTAATTTTTGTATCTTTCCTGTACTTACATATGGAGCTCCAACCTGGACATTCACTAAAATAAACATGGAGATCAGAAAAAATCAGAAAGCTATGGGACGGCAGATGCTGGGTATCTCACTCAAAGACCATAAAACAAATGAAGACATTCGTAATAGAGCAAAAGTAAAAGATGCTGTCGTACAGGCAGCTAAACTGAAATGGAAATGGGCTGGACATAACGAACGTCTTAAAGATGGTCCATGGAATAAAGAAATCGGGAATTAGCGGCCATATGAAGCCAAAAGATCACGAGGAAGACCGCAAATGCACTGGAGCAACGATATTAAAAGAACTGCAGGTCCAATGTGGAAACGTCTCACAAAAAACAGAGATGAATGGCGAGAATTAGGAGAGGCCTATATTCGGCAATCCGAATAGAGAGAAGGGCTTAAAAAAGGAATTGTTGTTGTAACTGTTGAGTGGAAAACGGGAATCCTAAGTTCTTCCAGTTACTTGTTGCTAAATATTATTTGAACTTCCCGTGGTTTTAGTAAAGAACATAAGACCGTGCATAAAACTATTTAATACTTCTATGTGAGTAGAAAGGGATGCGCTTCGCTTCACTTTGACCTTTGACCTCTCGCGCTCCGGTCACGCCCCGTGATGACGTCATAGTTTTGAAGGCTTGTGACGAGTCAGCCTTCATCATGTCTGCGTCGAGTCAGCATCATGTCAGCCCTTCTTTTCCACTATGACGGCACTATCTACGCTGACATGATGCTGACTCGACGCTGACATGATGCTGACATGACGCTGACTCGTCACAAGCGTTCAAAACTATGACGTCATCACGGGGCGTGACCGGAGCGCGAGAGGTCAAAGGTCAAAGTGGAGCGAAGCGCATCCCTTTCTACTACTATCGTAACGGGAATTTCTAATCTCCTTTAGCGACAAGTCGTCGCCAAGTTAAGCTATGCTTGAGCCGTTCCAAAGACGGCAGGGCCGTCGTCAGACCATTTAAGTTTTAACAGGAATTTATAAAGGAAAACCATACGAACAAGCTGAATTTTGCCGAGAATGCCAATTTAAGGACGCCAAAAGTTTACCACTTTTACTCTCGGGCTTTCCCCTTAAATCCCCCTCATAGAGGGGCGAAAACGGAAAAAAATCGATTTACCATGCCTCTATACGCCATAGAAAAAAATGTTTTAAATAAGAAATGAAGCTAAGTTAATTTTGAATAAAAATGTGTAGTAGCATTTTTGGAATAAAATGAACCGTTCCCTTAGAAATAAAGCTTAAAGCAATCGGCAATTTGGAATGTCAGTTACGCGCGCGAATATTCAATAAAATTTGTTTCAGCTCGATGGTAAAAATTCGATATCTTTTGATCGGAGTGTCCTATCGACAAAAATTAAGATGCATTTGAAAGGTAATGAATTTGGCTTTCGTAAACTGTTTTTGTATTTATATAATAAACGTAGCGCAATTTTTGTCAATTTTTATGATTCTGATAAGATCAATACAACGTATCCCTTTCATTAAGTGACCACTGGTATGGTAAATATAAGGCATTTGAAATATGCTTGAAAACGCTGAATTTAAACTTTCACATTACAAATGATCTAAAACATTTGAAACTGCCATTTTTCAATTACATTAGTACGTTTTTCAAAACTAACTGTCTTCTGCTACAAATTACACTCAAAACAATCTTCTTAGAGGCATTTACCGCAAAATTCAAATTTCAAATGTTATAGTTTTGAAGATTGGTTTCTAAAAATCGAAATTTTACTATGATCGGTCAATGAAAATGATAAATTTTATTGATCTCACTAGAATTGTTTAAAATGGCAAAAATCGCGCAAGGTTTATTTATTGAACAGGAACTCATTTCATTTGGTGCAAAATAAAAAAATATAAAAAAGCTGCGCTCTTAAAAAAGTGTTGATAAACATTTTTGTTCAAAATTATCTCAGCGATATTTTTTATTTAAAATATTTTGTTCTACCGCCTACCGGTTCTTGTAAATCGATTTTTTTACTTTTTATCCCTCTTTGAGGGGGTTTTAGGGGGAAGTCCGAGGGTAAAAATGGTAAACTTTTTGCAGCTTTTTTGAGGTCCCAAAATTGATATTCTCTGTAAAATTCTTGCTTGTTTGTATGAGTTTTAAAGGTCAAATCTCAGACGACTGGACTATAAGAGCTATGTTCAGTTGAGTGGATGCCAAAACTTTTTTAATAAAGTTATAACTAATTAACAAAATTCGTTTTTTTATAAAAATAAATAGTAAAATAATTTAAAATAAAAGTAAGTTAAAAAAGTAAGATTTTTTATATAAAAAATAATAGGGTCAATGAGTCAAATCTGACCCTGCCACGGTATAAATGTTGCTATTTTTGGCCATGGCAGTTACGGGTTAAGCAAGGATGCATCTTTTTCTCACCCTATTTTTAATCGTTGTAGATTTTATCATAAAAATAGTAACCTATAATAGAACAGGCATTAGAATGAATCTACACAAGCACTTGAGAGAATTGGGGTATACAGATCTGCGTAGCAAAGAAAGATCAATAACAACGGCTGGAGATAATTTTTATCTCTCTACTGGTATTTTAGGGTCTGGCGGACCCCTTTACTTTTTAAATACATGTAAAACTTGCAAATTTAACATTTATGCCTTGTCGCGCCAACCACCCTTAAGTTGGTGCACTTGCAAGCTCCTCCGATAAACACACCAACTGTTATTTAGTATTGTTTTGAAAAGTCAGCAGTAAAGTTCAATTAGGGTCTGTGTGGTATCACGACGCTAATACCTTTTTATTTCTGAAATGGCAGGTTCTTCCAAAAGAGTGTATTTCGGAGAGTCTAATTTTGATGAAAGTGTAAGGCGGTGGTATGATGAATTAAGAATGAAGTGATCTGCTGTTCCGGACAAACCAGATTTGAATATTAGAACATAAAAACACAAGCTGCTAAAAGTTCTTCCGTTGTTGAAAGGACCTGCAAAATGTGGCGATGTCTTTAATCCCTTAAAAATATGGAGTCTTCTTTTCACAGAGTATATGGAAAACGAAATAATTCTACCGATAAATGAAAAGATGTTGTTATTTTAAAATAAATTTAGCAATTCTGACAGAAAAGAACTAAGAGAACTAACAAAGAAGAATTTAGTGCGTTCTTCGCTATTTTGTATTACTACGCAGTTTTCAAGTCAAACGGTGAAGACTTATTTGCAACAGATGGAACGGAACGGACATATGTATTTGAGTATAGATTTGAGTATAGAGTATATTGTATAAGAGTATATGCGTTACTCGCATGTGTAAGGTTTGTTGACTGAATAGTTAGTGTAAATATTTTATTGCTTTTGTTTTAGGTTTGATAATGCAGATGATCGAGAAGAATGTAAAACTAATGATCGAACTGCTGCAATGCCTTAAGTTATTTAAGCGTTTTGTAAACAATTGCCAAGACTGTTAATGTCTTACCAAGACATTATATTCAAACAAAAGGCGGTGACGATGCACTAGATAAAAAATGTACCACATATTCTACTAGCCAGCGAACTAGGTGATTGCCAATGACTATTTTTTTTTTAACAATATAGAATATTGCATAGAATATTGCAAGTGTCAAGGCACACATTTTACATGGATGTTATAAAAACAACCAAGCCGTAGGGAGAAGAGTCTTTTACAAAATTCTTGCAAGATAACTTGCAGAACCATATCTCAATATAAGACTACAATTTTCGATTACCTAGGGAGCTTCGCTTGGGTATCAATAGAAAACTAAAGAAAGTTTTACCTGAAGCTGAGAGGGGAGAATTAAATAATCAAAACCAGAAAAGAAAGAGATGTGGTATCAGTGATCGAAAGAATGATAAAAAAATGTAGTGCAGCAATTGTTCCAGATCCATGTGCGGCGACTGCATGTTATATGTTTGCAAGAATTGCATTTAGAAAAATGTTAGTTGTAAATAGTTCGCAGTTTTGTTGATAATAATAATTTTTAATTAGAAAGTTTGTATAATTTAGTTCATTGTTCTTTATATGAAATTAAAAAATCAAGAAAGAAATAGTGATTTTACTTTTTATATTTCTTTTGTAAGAAATTATGTTCGGCTGTCAGAAAACCTTGAAAAATAAGTTGTTACATTTTTTAGCATTTGTCATTATTAATAAAAAATAAATAAAAAATGGGCTTACACGGATTTATTTCAGCCTAAATGATTACAAATTATAGCGAAATAATGAATTATTTCTGTTAATTCACAAAAAAAAACTGAAAAAACGGGGTCAGCTAGGCACCAGGATGCAGTTAACGGCAGAATAAATCGTCGTGATTGAGGTTGACGGTTTTAAAGGAAATCTAATCCAAGCCATTTTCCATTATTGGTAAAGACACAAATAAATACACCTAATAAGTAAGTACTACATTAGGAGGGACGGACATAGAGGTAAGCTTTTAAATCATCAAAAAACAGAAATTTGCAAAATGTTGGTTGGTCCAAAGAAATGTTTTGGGATATCTTAATCAGAAAAATTGTTTTATATAAGAACTAGGTAACGTCATTCCAAACACAAGACAAACGATTTATCGTGTATTATTAAATTGATTAATAACTAATTGAAAAAAGGCTCACTAACTTTTATAAGAAATTATTGTTTAGCTAACCATATATAATTTTTTTCATAAAACTTTCTTCTCTAATATGTAAATATTCTAATAGCAAAAACTTGTATTGGCTGAATAAATTTCAATAAGCAAACACTTAACAGTATGTTTTTTCTGTTTAAATATTTAAGTTATTTAAACCTATGTAAAAATAGTGTAAAATAAATGTTTAAATCAAACTTGCCTCTATAGTGAGGAATCTCCTTATTAAAAACCACACTACTACTACATCGATTCGGTCACACCGGCTAGTCTCACTCATTCGACGATCCACACAACACAAAGTTTAGGAGACAACTAACCAAACAAAACGAATAAATCTTACTACCGGCCTGGAAATCGAAAGAGAACAAGCAGAGCTATTTATCACTATAAATTTACTACTGGAAATTGCAGGACAGGCTTAAAGCTGTATAAAAGTTTTTTTTGTCAACAAAATTATACAAATTTTTGTCTTCAATTAATATTATAATGTTTGTTATAACGGTATGCTTATTAGCAATTATCAATAAACAATTGTCAGTAAATTAGTATTGTTTGTTTTTATTCTGCTATGTATAGAAAAGCCATAAAATTGACATGATAGGGAGCACAATTAAAAAGGGACAAAAATTGGAATACATAAAAGAACTGATTCCACCGCGAATTGTCAGATTTTTCAACAATCTCAAAGAAGCTTCAACTTGACATAGTAACTTCAAAGTTCATCAGAGAAAGTAAAAATAGTAAAATGATAAAAGCCATTGGTACAGATGAGGTACATACAAAATATTTAAATTTGACAACGAACAACACATCCCTATACTATTAGAGGGAGACTATTTATTAAAATCTGTAAATGCGGTAGCTGAATTTGGTATTTATTTTTATCCCAAAAAACACAAACGCAAAAAATTGTGAACGTTTCAAACTAATAATTTTTATGGACCATTTTCTTACATTTGTGTGGACAATGAAGTACTCCAGTATAGTTAAGGCCAACTATCTATCTGTCCGTCGGCAAATTCAAACAAAAATACAACTTCCCGACCAACTTTTACCATGTTTAGTCCAGAAAAATTAATATATGTATTTAATATATTTTTTACCACCAAAAATGAGATGTTTTAACCAAATAATGCTTCAAATATAATGTGCAGAATAATTTTGAATTATGTTCTGCTAATGAACTTGCTTTTTTGTCTTTAAAAGTAGAAAAGAGTTTCAATTATCTTCTTCAGGTGCCATCTCCGCTACGGAGGTTGGCAATCATCATAGCTATCTTAATTTTTGAGGCAGTAGCTCTAAATAGTTGTTTTAAGCTGCATCCAAACCATTCTCTCAGGTTCTTCAGCCATGAAATTCGTCTTCTTCCGATGCTTCTTCTGCCATCTATTTTTCCTTGCATTATGAGTCGCAGGATGCCATACTTATCGCCCCGCATCACATGTCCGAGATACTGTAGCTTTCTTTCTTTAATTGTAAGTTCAATTTCCTTCTCTTTGCCTATTCTTCTCAGTGTTTCATTGTTTGTAACTCTATCTACCCAGGAAACCCTCATAATTCTTCTATAGGTCCACATCTCAAAGGCGTTAAGTCGTCTCATGGTATCTAGATTTAACGTCCATGATTCCACTCCATAATATAGTACACTGTATACGTAACATTTTGTTAGGCGTACTTTAAGAGCTAATGTTAGATCTTTGCTACATCGGACCTTTTTCATTTTTATAAAATTAGAACGTGCTTTTTCAATTCTGACTTTGATTTCTGCCGTGTAGTCATTATTTTCTGTTATAAGTGTTCCTAGGTAAGTGTACTTTTTTACTCTTTCGATCTGCTGGTCCTCTACTATCAAGATTTCGTTAGTATTATAGTTGTTTTTACAAATTTTCATAAACTTCGTCTTTTTGACATTAAGACAGAGTCCGTACTCCCTACTACACATGACTATTTTGTTCATGAGTCTTTCCAGGTCTTGTAAACTATCGGCTATTATTACTGTATCATCTGCATATCTGATGTTGTTAATTAAGACTCCATTTACTCTTATGCCGACTGTTTCATCTTCCAGAGTTTCTCGAATTACCTCTTCAGAATAGGCGTTAAATAATAGAGGTGATAGAATGCAGCCTTGCCTGACTCCTCTCTTTATTTTCATTTCTTCAGATGTTTCTTTTTCGATTCTTGTTTCAATTATATTGCTTAATATTTCGTCTAAATATAATCATCTCACAATTTTAACTGTACTAATGCCCAAGTGTCAATTTTCAAATTTTAAACTGATTAATTTTCTATGAGTACTTCGGTTGTTAAAATATCGGCATATGCCTTATCTAAGGGACCGGACTTGCAAATTTTGAGCTCAGTTGTGTTGAAATTTTGTTGTGAGTAGTTATAATAATTGTAGTATTTTTTTGTTGTTTGTTTTTTCGAAACTGTCTATTTGTGTATAAAGAAACTGTTTAGACCATGAGAAAAATCACCTAGAGCTTTTCGTGCGTGGAAGCAAGAGAACCCCGGTAGTAGTATAGAAGCTGTAGTAGTCAACAATCTTTTAAGTGTAAGTGATACAAAAAACAATGACGCGGAGATTGTAACTGTAGAAAAGTGTTTAAGACTTCCAAAGAAAATTATTGTTTTGAATGAACAATCTAATAAAATTTGTATGAAAGTTTACAAAAATATTGAAAATGATCCTGAAAATAGTTGTAAAGGCAGTATTATAAGAAAAGCAGCCTTTTTCAGCGACCAACATCGTGAAAAGTTAAAAAGAGAAATACTAGATCGAATGCTGGAAAACCTAAACAAATTAATATCGTGACTGCTAAATTGTCACTTTGTGACTTGCTATAGTCACCAAGGTTGTTGTGATGGGAAGAAGCTGCCCTAAAACCACTTTACGTAGACGGCTGAAAAAACTTCGGTTCAAATACAAAATTGTTGATAACGGGTGGCTATTATGGAAAGTAAGAGGATACTACTCTTTGCGGAAAAAAATAGAACAATGTAGATTATCAACAGAATATGAATTCTAATATATTCGAAGAGTGGTTTAAAACACAATACTTACCAATATAACACCGCGCAGTGTGATAGTTATGGACAATACTAGCTACCACTCAAGGTTTTTTAAAAAAATTCCTAACAGTTCGTCTTCAAAACAGGAACTAAAAGAATTCCTCTCAAATAATGATTTGTATTTTGAAGACAACTATAATAACAAACAGTTACTTAGATTGCTTCGTACTAAAACTTATAAGAAACAATATATACTGGACACTATTGAATTACAACATGACCATGCTGATTTAAGATTACTACCTTATTTTTGCATTTTCAATCCTATCGAACTTATTTGGTGACAAGTAAAAAAACGAATTCGGAGGAAAAATAGTTTTCCAAAATTTGACGCGAAAATGGTCGACTTAATAGATTATACGTAATCTTGCCAGGATGATTTTTTACTTTTTTTAACTACGTGTTTGGCCTTGGCTTTGAATTTTTTGTAATTTATTAGATTTTCAAGGCTTTTGTTTTTTGGTACTTATTTAAAGCTTTTTTTGGATAGACGAATCGCCTCTTCACAAGACGAGTTCCACCAAGGAACTGCTTTATGATTTGGAGAAAATGATGTTTTGCCAATATGAGTCTTAGCAACTGAAAGAATAGTGTCTGTTATTGACGTTAACAAATAGTCTACATCATTGATTATTAGATGATCATGAGTGAGCAAGAGAGTGTCAACAGCTTTTAAATACTCTAACCAGTTAGCTTTATTTAGGCGCCAATAGCTTTTGGTAGAGGCAGTCCCATTAGAATTTTTGGAAATTATTATAGGATAATGATTGCTATCAAAGAGATCGTCAGCTGTTTGCCAGGTTAAAAAAGGTGCAGATTTAGGGTCACTAATACTAAGATCTATAGCAGAGAAAGATCCAGATAATATTTTTAACTACTTTTCCCCGTCCCAAATTATAGAGAGAACTTTGAGGTAATGTTAATTGAGATATTTATATATATATATATATATATATATATATATATATATATATATATATATATATATATATATATATGGAGCAGATGGTAAGTTTATTAAGGCAATATGTAGTTATGGCAATAGCCTCAAGATTCCTTATTAATGGTAGCATTGTTGAGAAGATTTCGCTGGACGCAAATATTAATGCACCTCCACTAGCTGTGAAGCAGTTCGTTCTAATGAAGTGGTATCCTTCACTTTAGGAGGATTTAAGATGAGGAATATTAGTTGTATTAAAATTAATTGAATGTGTTCAAGGCGCGAATAGTATCCGTCGCAGTTCCATTGTAAAATAGTGAATTTAAAAACTTATTTGGTTAGTAGAAAGAATATACCTTGTACTAATTAAGTAATTTTAGAAAATATCGATATCATTGCAGTTAGAGTCACATGAATTATTGGACGTAAGGCTGGTAAGTTCGTCAGCGTCTATAGAATTTAATGTGCGTTTTAGCGTTTTCGTTATTCTTGTAATGCGATTTTTAAGTGATCTATCGGATACAGTTTGGTATATTTGTGTAAGATTTTCGAGGAGAGAATGAATCTTCGTGGTAAAATTATGAGCTTCTTTGAGAGGATCACTACTCCCAAATGAATTTTCTAGGAAGGCAACTATTTGTAATGCTGATAGCGAAAATTTTTCTGGATTCGCTTAAATTAATTTTTCAATACTTGAGTGGGCAGATGGACTAATTTTACCAATTTCTATGTCATCAGTTTTTGTTTTCTTTTTAGGAGCTGATGTTAGGAGCGAAGGTGTGTTTGGTGTGTTATTAGAGTTTAAGTTTAGGGGGCTAGCGGTTACCAGTAAAGAAGGTGATTTAAGACTTGTGTCAGTGGAATGAGTTCTTTTTATGCCAGAGTTAGAAAGGACAGATAATGGTGTTATAGACTGTTCATTTGGGGTTGTTATGTTAGTAGGTGGGTTATTTGAATAGATTTTTTGTGAAGGACGAAAGGGGAGATATACTAGAAGGAGGATCAATTGGGATTTGGCTAGAAGTTGTATTTGGAGAGGGATTGCTAGATATTTCGTGAGGGTTAGGGCAGGAGTCTGCAACGTGTCCAGATTGCTTACATAAAAAGCATTTTAGTTTGTCGGAAGTATTAAAGATCCTATAATTTGTGTTTTCATATGAGATTACAATTGAAGTATTTAACTCAAAGTATTCTTTATCTGGTATCACAAAGACTGAGCGTCGAAAACTGAAGATGTGAGCATATTCGTCTTCCGGAGAACTACAACGGATATGCGAGATAGGGGAAGCAAGTTGTACTCCAAGTTCATTTTTAA